AGGCTCTTCTTCCATGTGTTTTAACAACATGAATCATCAGGACTGTAGAAGTAGGGTAGGTTGAGCTACTGCAGGGTCAATATGCCTCGGTTGGATGGATTGAGATTGATGTATGTATAATGAAAGTACAGGATCATTCATATTCATGCAACGTACAGTATCTTTTGCCAGGTTCCTGGGGAAATGAAGCATCTCACCACTTTATTCCACTGTATTCAAAATAATTGTTAAGCCCAAAAAATGCACTACAATTAGCCTGCACCTCTTTTGGTAATAGATCATTTTCAAGTAATTTCCTGAGGTTTGGAGATATAGTTTGCACACTTACCACAATCCAGTTGTACACTGAGTTTACCACAGTAATTTACTGAGGTACCAAAACACTGTGGTAAGCTGCAAACTACAAAAGGGTCTAGTAGGCAACCTGGGGCTCCGGAGCCATATGCAGCTCTTTAGCCTGTCTCCTGTGGCTCCTTGTGGCTTTGACAGAAATTATATTACATGAATAAGATTTCATTTCTAACACATTCATTCATCATTGTTGTAGGACCTTTTTTGTAAAAATGTATAGCTATTACACACTGAATAAAAAATATGTTTTAGCTTTTCATTAACTAAAATGTGCGTCATACGTTACGTCCTGATCTGGCGCCTTTTCCTTTTAATTGTAGGATATAGTTGGGATTACACTACACTCTGCCATTCATCTTTTATACGCTCATCTCTCTGAAGACATTTAATACATTCTAGAGATTACTGTTACAGCTGGAGTATCAGATTTACCATTCGATTTTAGGTTTTTCTGTTAGGTTAAGGCAGTATTTGTAGTATAGTGTGCAGAGTGTCTGGTGGACCCAGGCTGGACTTGTTTTTCAGGCACATTGAACAACAGCTTCTCTCATTCCTCCGCTGTGGGCGTTTGGCCTGGCCAGCTAAAAGGCACTTGTAGCAGCTGGACAGGACATACTCTGTACTCCATCGATGACCGAGGAAACAGAAGTGGAGGAGAGAGGCAGACAGACAAGGTGACAGAAGACAAAAACAGTCTGAGGAGGCTGTAGGCTGATGGTAATAGCATATGTGATGAGCTTAGAACTCAGTTTCAACATAGTAGAACAACTGAATGAGTGATGAAGGCCTTTGTCTGCTGCTATGTATCTTTAAAAGGTTTATAGGTCATTCTATCTTACTATAAACCCATAAAGTGGGCTTGTGTTGTTTTCCTACCCCTCTTGTCAGGAACAATATCCTCAATGGTAATATTCTGTGTGCTGAATTGACATTTTGCCCTCCAGTTCATGAAGTGTTGAAAATATGAAGGGTTCATCCTCTGAGGGGCATGAATGTGCTCAATAAATTGACAGTAAGATTTTGATACCTCCTGTGTATAAGTGGAAGTCTTGGCACATGATTCATCCTCTGGGGACCATGACTATGCAAAATCAAAGCATTCATTTTGGAGATACCTTGTTTCAAGTGTTAGGCAAGGAGAACATTTTGCCCAACGCAAATGAAAGGCCAGGGAGGTCACCAAAACTGCCAGGAATCATCTTCTGGGAACAATGAATAGGAAACAGTGTCTTAAAAGCTTTGTTGGTATTTGTTGAGATTTCTTCCTCTAGTGCAAAGTATTGGACAGACTGACTGATATTACTATTCTTAGGCTTTACAAAAACAATACCATTTAGCTTTGAATGCCCAACTTTTTATTATCCATGATGGACCTTTTTCTCCAACATGCCTCCCTTTTCTCTCCCAAGCAATTTTAAAATCATTGCCCAATATGTATTGTAATGTTTTGGCAGTCTCCCAGAAAGAACTACGTTTTTCTTTGTTTGTCTGGCAGTTGTTTGTTATTCTCCATGTGTGAGGGGAAAAAGTGAGTTGGAGTGCCCTTAGACGTGTTTGTGGGAGTGAGACTTGATGACATGGTTAGAGAGGGAATATGTTTCGGTCCTTTGGGAGGAAAAGGGAGGAGGGGTGTTAGGCGGGGGTTGAAATACTGATGCACCACAGGTTTTTGCCATTAGGCCTTGTCCTTTTATCACTATGGCAAGACCTTGCCATTTTTTAATATATGTATGCTCTCAATATGTCTCTGGGCTTGAAGTGTATCCACAAGCAGCAAGAGACGGCACAAAGTCCAGGTTGAGACATCTGTCAAGGGCTTTGGGTTTGTCTCAAGAGACAAGTATGGAAACAATAAAGCCTCTGTTTTTCTCACAACAAGGAGAGGGGGAGCTATGCCATACATGGTCTCTGGCTTTATGATGATCTAACATAGGCTTATTGGACAGCACAGACAGAGAAAACAATAGCTATGTGTTCTGAGCAACAACAAAAAAAAGAAAAAGATTTCCCCCTGGCTGTACCCCACTGCTGAGGCACTGTGGAGTCAGTTTTTGGAGTCAGTTGGGGAGAATTTAACATTGTTATCTAACTGTCTCTCACTTAGACTTTAATGATTTCCAAATGTTCCATCTGATTGCGTTTGGCAACCTTTGTGTGTTTAGCGTGATGTGTTTGAAATGCGAACAGCCTTGGCTGGCACAAGGCTGTAGGGTAAAACAAGGTCTGACCCCGAGAAAAAACCTGGCCACAGGAGCTGTCATAGGATACACGACACTCTAATGGAAAAAAGCTGTTTGGTACCTCACTCAGACCTCAGCGCTGGGTTTTCGTGTCACCCCTCATGTGAGATGGGTGTGCTCTTGCGTATGTGCAAGTTACACCGTGGATGTGTTTAAGTGGGTCATGCAGATATAAAAATGTAAAGGAGGTTTGCACCATAGGAAGATCTCAGGCTGTGGTGAAGCTTGTTAACCACCTGAAAGCTTGTGGCTGATGAAAAGGAAGTTCCACATCATGCAGGGGCAATCGTGGACAGCAAGTACAATCCTGTACACATAAGTGAATCTATGTTAAAGTCAAGTAGTCAAGACATTCACAGGTCACTGAACCGTTTATTACAGCTGACTGTGCAGTAGACAAAACACAGATATAGACCCAACAGACTGAGCTTCAGTGACCTCACACCCTGCTGAGTGCTGCTTTGCTTGATTGAGCGGGCTCAGTCACTGTTTTTTTGTAGTCGTGACTGCTGTGATGTCTGATTGAAATGGGGACATCTAATGGAAAGTATAAGAGAGATAAGAAGTGTTCGTCCATGCCCCTTTTTGCTTGTAATGTACAAAATTATTAATTTTATAGACAATAAAAGCTAACTTTTTAGTTTGACCTGTTTATTTTCCCATTCACAATTTGTCAAGTTGTAGTTATCATAATGGAGCTATATCCAGACTTTACCTTTTCTCTTAAAACTACTGCACTGATTAAACATTACACTTTTATATCATTAAAAAAATCCTCAAAATATAAACAAAATAAAAATTTTGAGGCATTTCTATTCCTTGTCAAAATCTGGTGCCTACATTACTCACAATGCAACTCGACCACTGACAGTGTGGTCAGAGATTCCGGTTATTGTTTTTGCAGTATCCAGTCGCAGGAAAAGAAGAGAAAAGGCTCCACCTTACCACACTTACATATCGGCCCAAATTATCAGAACAACAATAATATATAGGCAGCTGATATATTGGGCATTCCTGCTATTTGAATACTACTCACTTCTCCTCACCTCAGAATCAATTATTTATTTCACATTTACTTGTCCCTGTGGAAAGGCTTCTGTCTGAAAAGGACTTTGTACTTGTGACATTTGTTGCAACTAAGAAAGCATTTCCTTTATAAGATGAAGTAGAAGAGTAAGGTGACTTTCAGTGTGACTCACAATAAAGAGTGAAATCTGTCAGTCAAAGAAGAAGTCTCAAACTCTAAGAATATCAAATATGGTTTTCCCATTAAGAGCTAAGGGGGAAAACCCTATGTCTGACATGTGACCTTATTAGAACCCTTTGCAACGGTGATTTGCTCATTTGTGAAGTTTTGTGATGCCACTCAAATATGCCTGCTTCAGTTGGTTGTTCAGTGAGTTGCCCTGTGCAGTACGACTTATAGAAGGTTGGACAGTGTGAAGTGGATCCTTACTGTCAACCATGCTTACAGGTTTTTCACCTCAGATTGTCCTGGAGCTTGTCACATCTCCAAGGCAACTAGTGAAGTCCACAGCTAATGGTTAGTTACAGGCTTTACGAGAGAGAGCGCACATTTAAGTTTAAGTCTGGTTCTTCTCCTAAGTGATTAAAGAAGGTCATATTTGACCATTCAAGGGAAATAAAAACAGTTCAAATTACCTTAAAGGAATTATAATTGGAATGCTGTGTGTTGATTATATGTCTCACACATTACTCACTCTAGAGATGGTCAGACTGAGTGACACTACATTGTGTAGAGGAAAAACCTACATTATAGAGAACTCGTAGAAAAAGTGCATTTACTGAATTATTGTTTATGTACAATTTGTTGGTACTGGTTTCTATTTAGAATGAGGATTTATTTTCTCAGATAGATTAAAGGTTGTATTTTTAAGTTCTGCATGTGGAAAAGAAGACGACTGCTCTCTGTTGTAGATCATTATGGTCATAGGACATCACTGTATACATTAAAAGAAAGCACTCATACATGAAGTAGGTCAACAAAATGAAACATGACATTTGAAATCCTTGTTAAGACTGTAGCGTTTGATGTTAGAGCTGCAATGATAAGTTGATTATTCAATAAGTTGTCAATTGTTCAATTAATCACTATTTTGATAATTGATTAATCGTTTTGAGACAATGTTTTAAGAAAAGAAATGTCCAAATACTCATATTACACCTTCTCAATTGTGAAATATCTTATGGTTTCTTTAGTCCTCTTTGACAATAAACTGAATATCTTTGGGTTGTGGACAAAACAAGACATTTCAGGACGTCAGCTTGGGCCGCGGGAAAGAGCGAACAAATTGATTAATTGAAAAAGTGATTGACAGATTCATCGATAATGAAAATAACAGTTAGTTGCAGCCCTAATTCATACAGTATTCTTTTTTTCACCTGCAGGGCCTTTGTTTCGCAGCCCATGCGAGCTGCTGCCGGTGGGGATGGGACACCCGGTGCAGGCCATGTTGAAGAGCTTCACCGCCCTGTCAGGCTGTGCAAGCAGGGGCACCACCAGCCTCCCTCAGGAGGTCCACATCATCAACCTGAGAGGACATGCTCCAGAGGGACCAGACAACACTGCGGCAGAAGTGAGTCATCCTTAGTAAAAGAAGCTGAACTTGAGTTATATTCTCTACCCCCATAATTACTCTTCAATAAAAACAGTTAAGATTAGACTTTGTTCCACAATGGTATATAGCGAAGTCTTCAGCAATCATCTAAACCCATATTTACTATCAGTATATTAATTATTGAAATCTTAATAATGCTGTTGAGTTTTGTATGGTTTGTGTGTCTGTATAGTCCAGTGAGAGATAATGATTTCATTGCACAGCCTAACACTGGATATTTCCACTTCCCTCGTTTGTTCTATTTTAACCAGTGACTTTGATAATGTCTGCCAGTCATTTTCCCTTTTGCTTAGAGGAAGCTTGTTGGCCAAAGCAAAGGAGGAAAGGACTGGTCACACTACAAGGGAAAAGTGAAGTTTGTCCACGTGTTTTCACAAAACAGGCGGCACTAGAGGCTTGTTGACTGATTGAAGGATTATCTCAGGGCTAGCCGGTGAATTACTCTATTGTTTTAAGCTAATGATATTGCGAGCCAGTGTTAGTCAGTCACAATAACTCTCCAAGACTCTCTTATTTTCTGTATATTTTACTGTTTTAGATGCTGGTTTGACTGAGATTTAACACAATTAAAATAACCTTCTAGAGGATGATTTGTTAGTCATTTAAATGGCTAGTCATTTAATAGGTACAGGTAAAGGATAGATCTCTTTAGTGCATTCTTTTACACTCTCAGCACATCTCTTAACTGTCTCCCGATAGTGTTCCTGAGTTTAATGTCGGTTTCTTAACCACTCCCTGTCTTCAGGTATTATACAGCTTGTCTCATGGCAGGACTTCGCAGTTAGCCATAGTTTTAAGATTAATCATGGCCCCACGGCCTGTGAACACGCTGCGTCTGGATTTTAACCTGTCCCAAGTTCGCAAGCCCCTCAGTCACAGCAGTGTGAAAAGCAGCATGTATAGACTTGCCATTGCATTTCTGCTGCTGATGTAGGCTTAAACGTTGCCTAGGCCAAATATACAGAAACACAGTGTGTGTGAGTATGCTGAATCAGCTGGAAAATACCGAAAGTACTCTCTGGCTTCAGTGGCTGTGCTTGTTCTTTAGTGCACCACCCTCAATGATAGATTCCTGTAATCAGTCTTTTGTTGTAATCTGTCATGTTTACTCCACACAATGTCATTTTGAGGAGATGATGCTATTACAGGGCTTCTTTTGCATTTGAGATTTGTCAGGTTTTTTTCATACATTATGTATTGCTGAGCAGTTTCACTGTGGACATTGCAAGGGATGCAATGTAATGAGGCAAATTAGGCTCAACATAGTACACTATTTAAACCAAGGTAGCTTTTTATTGTCTGCAAACTGTGCAATCCAGCTGATAAATTACAACAGCTATTAATTACAGTGTGTTCATGCATGTCATGCATCATGACTGATTTGTTTCATATACGAGGAAAAAACAAATTAACAAATGTCTTGTGACATACATTTATGCATCTATGCATTGCTTAGTGGCCTTTTATGGGACAGATTAAGGATTTTCAGCATAAACGACGAAGAACCTTTTCAGTTTTTTTTTTACTTCAAACAGAAAATAAAACAGTCTTAACTTGGGCTGTGTGTTGACGTATCATGATACAGCAGTCATATATTGTGATTTAATATAAAAAACTGTCATAGTATAAAGAACTGTCATAGTATAACGAACATTTGTCTTCTTGAGAATTGGTACAATATCACAAAATAAAATATTGTTATAAGACATTTTGATATTTTCTTACACCCCTAATCTTAACCATATTTTAGTTGCTGTTCAAGCTGTCACAACCCATGAGACTGGCTGTCTAATTCTTATTTTCACTTGCTCTCAAGAGACCCTTCCACTGGTAGCAATGGACCAAACAGTGGTTCATAAATACAGTCAACTGACAAGATCTGGCACCAGAAAAGATTTTCATATGCTTTTGTTTATTTTGTAATAATTTTTACATTGTCATTTGTTTTCTTTCTTAACAAATAGAATAATTTGCCGTGTAAACGATCACTCGCAGCATAACTGTCATGGATAGCCCAGTAAAACCAAAGTTTGAGGGGCTGTGAAACCCATCTCTTTGCATCAGTTTATCCAGCTGTTGGTAACCCATCACCTCCATGGTCAAGTGAGGACTTTTGTGGAGGAGGCTGAAATCCAGCTGTCTGTTCCCCTGCCTACAGCCTTGGCTGCAGAAGGTCACTCGGGCTCTGGTTGAGATTAGGTGGCCCTGCTGAAGCTCGCTCTGTGACTGGAAGTTTCTGCTTGTGATGAGATGAGATAAGATCCCCTAAAGGACGCTTGGACATTCTGCCCACTCCCTCCCTTGTTCTGTTCTTGATTGCATTTCCACCTTGGTCGTGGGCACAGATTGGCCTGTTCGGACACAAACACAGCCTCTTCCTAAGTGCTTAGCCTTCAACAAGGTTGTGTTGGAGGGCACACAGTGCGTCAGAGAGTGCTCTCATTGATACAATCTGCCCCTGATCTTTCGTGACAGCAGGAACTGATAATCCAGTGGAAAAAAAGAATTACAGCTTGAAACAAAAGGGATCTTGTTGTTGTTTAACATCCTTTGCCACATTTAAGCAAGGATGCTCTCACCTAAAAGTCTGTGAAATAGGACCACTTTGCTCTTTATTATTTATCCTTGACTAATGCGAGTCTAGAGCATGAAGCCTACTCCTCATTTATGACGCAAAAGTCTTTTCCAAACCACGAAACTCCATGAAACTGCATCTTTTCTTAAATAAATATTCTGCTTAATATGAGTATATTTTGAATATATCAAACTGTAACAACTTTTGGCTTAATAAGTGGCTCTGAAAATTTGTAGCTCGTTCCTTTATGTGGGAAAATAGCTGTTCATTCACAGCAGTTACAGTGGATTCAAACAGCCTCCCAGTTTAATGGTGAACTAAAACGCCCACATAAACGTCTCAAACTACTCTTGCAGCATAATCCATTTCTCCTCTGTCCATCTGTATGCTCAGTTTGTGCCAATCACACTTTTTTTGCTAAAATATGGCCATGTATACAGCTAGCAGGACCATAAACAATAACCTCTTTGGTGAATATAATAAATTCAAACTTGAATGGTAAATTCAAGTTAATCTTTTGATCAAAGGGCGTCCTCTTAGTTTTTGGAAAAATGTTTCAATTTTGTTGTTGAGTTAGATGAGGAACACTCTCATGACTGTTAAAGACTTGAAACAAAGGTAAACAGCTCCCCTGGATCTGTCCCAAAGGGAACAGCAGCTACAGTACCAGCCCCTCAAAATGCACTAATTAAAACGATAGCTTTTTTTTTTTTTTTTTTAAATCTATACAAAAAAAGTGATGATGATGAACTATGTTGAACTTTTCCTTTAATTTAAGTGCTCCAATCAATTTTAGTTGTCAGATGTGGAAGCTTGCAAATACATTTCACTCCCAGTAAAGGGTCTATTCCTGTGTTTGCTTTGGCATGTGTATCCTTTGCTTATTTTCAAAGTCAGCATAGAGGTGGCTGGTCAGTCTGTGATTATGTAAATTTTCTGCATTCTCCTCACCTCTGCTGAAGGGGGAGGATGTGGTGTCTGAGCCGCAGAACAGACTGTATTTGGATGTTTTGTGCAATGGCCTGCAGTACAAGAGGGGCCTGTGGCTGATCTTTGGCTGTGCAGTGCTGAACTGGCCCGTCTGGGTTGAGGGGCTGCTGGAGAACACGATGTGCCCCAGTGACTCCTCACTAAGTGTGTGGAAAGCGAAGCCTTGACCAGGTAGGGGAATAAATCTGCTATTGCACATGGTGTGTACGGCCTAATGTGGACAAAGGGGATCACATGGTCAATTTCAAACAGCCTAACACTAACACAGGCAGACTGACACACATCCTGCAGCTGCGATGTGTGAGGCCTGCTTCACATCTCTTTCACATCCATGTGTGAGAGTCGCGGCTTGCAGTTTGTCCATATTTTCAATAAAGACGTGAGAGCAATGAATTGTTTCCTGCCTGCACCAGTGAACCCATTCTGTATGGGTATTAACTAAGGGGTATGAACTGTTATCCACAGAAAGAAATGCACAGCTGGACCTGACTCAGAATACACACTTTGGCTCCTGGCCAACCTCCACACCGAAGCTGAGTTATTAAGTGCAACAGAACACCTCAGTAGTGACTGTGCATAGTGCTACGTCTGGAATATGCTCACGTTTAGAGGGCTTGCAGTCACCATAGAATAACACACCAGGAGGAGGAAATATTCTAATCATTCATTCAAGTGGCCTAAGGCTAGAAATATCCACAATAATATTTTGGATAGTATTGTGGTGATGTACAAGCCATGTGTTCAGATCTGCTGAGGTAAAAGTATACCAGTCTGCTTTTATTAAAAGAAGTCTAAAATAGAGCAAGTGATGAATGAGTCAAATGTTTTCTTATTGTTCCTGATGCATCCCTAATAAAGGTTTTATCTTTAAAACCGTTTATATTTAGTACAGATGCTGCAGATTAAAAATAATGAGTAACAGCAGCTGTTAGGCTCTTGTATCAACATAAAAAATGAATTTGGTTGAACCTAGTTTTCCAATTGTTCCTTCACAGATATCAAATGACTAAACCCAAGCACAGCACTTAATTACTCTCCATAATGTCCACCATTGAGCAGGTGAAACTGTCCATATTGTTGCAGTACTGAAACATGTCAGTTTGGCAAACTATTGGATGAATTGCTGTGCAATCTTGTGCATACATGTATGGTTCCAAGAAGATTTTGTTCTTGAGTAAATGATTGCATGTTAGCATAACTAAGATGGTTTCTTGTTTTCTTGTTTCCTTGCTTAACACCAGCATGTTAGCATTGTCATTGTGAGCACAGTAGAATGCTTACATTAGCATTTATCTCAAAGCACTGCTGTGCCCAAACACAGCCTCACAGAGCTGCTTGGCTGTACAGTAGACCTCTTAGAAAATTGATTTCAGGAGGAATTTCTGATTCTGTT